GATAACGCGTGATTGGTCGCGATAATACGCACCCTGTGTGCGCAGCCCCGGCTGGCCCACAGGTATCGATTCTGGATCGCGACGATCCAGGATCAGACTGGTGCGAGCCGATAGCGAGCGTGTGAGGTCGAGAGCGAATAATTCTGTAATTGAGAGGACGATAGCGAGACGAGAGCGAGCGGAGAGGATCCCGGCGATCGGCAGCTGAGAAGGACGGACCCGAGGGCGAGGACGTCGACGTCGGGTTCTCGCACGTCTAGCGTTTAAGTCTCATTCGTGCTGTATGTCGGTCGTTTGAGTGTGAGTGTGAGTGTCAGTTTGTTATATTACTTTTGTCCTTCGTTTGTGAATCTTAGCGTATAAAATTTGCGTGCACGTCCGGTGCAACTTTCCTTCACGATTATTGTACGGCTTACGTGAGAGTGTGAATCGCGTAAATTCGACTTATTACGTCGGTTGTAAAGCACCGCGTCTCGAAATTGTGAGCGCGTTTTGTGAGAGTTTCCTCGCGATTCTTGCATGAATTGCGTGTGTGTGCCGAGCATTCGATTCTGCGTAAAATGTCCGTCCGAAATCGAAGCATGTCCGCGTTGTATTAATTGCCTGTTAATCTTAAGTTGCGTATTGATAATTTCGCGGTAATAGCGGGCGATAAGATCGCCATTGGCGAGGCGATATCGAGAATTGATTCGGTCTTGCGCCCGAATTATAGAAGAACGTAATATTCAATTTCTTCGCCGTGCGAGGCGTAATTCAAGCCGAGCAAACATTCCGGCCGATCTAACGGGTCGGTCTCGGCGTCCACATGTCGCAACAAATAATGCCAGAGGCGTCAAATCGTGAGCTGGTCGCAACAAATAATGCCAGAGGCATCAAATCGTGAGCTAGTCGTATAAAATAATGCCAGAGGCGTTTATAAGGCATAGAATCAAGAGTTCATAAATGCTATAAAAATTTTGATCGCAATGCAAGCTCCACAAGTATGCAAAGCGATGCTATTGTAGAAGGTTTCAAAAATAGCATCAAGATGCATGGAATAATTTATAAAACAGTAGTTGCTGATGGTGATAGCAGCGTATATCAGGTTATCGTTCACAATAGACCATATCGCGAACAAAAGGTGACAGTAAAAAAAATAGAATGTACTAATCATTTGCTCCGAAATCTTTGCAAAAAATTGAAAGCTGTGGCATAGACGACTCAGCTAAAAACGTCTAGAAAGCGTGGTTTTGTACAACTACGAAATGTTGTAAAAAAAAATATTTTAAAGATACGAGAGGAGATAATACAGGTAGCCGCTCTACGAAGAGAAGAAAGACAACCTCATCATTGTAAGGCTACGGAATTACAAAAAGATATATTAAGCATTCCTAGCCATGTTTTCGGTGAACATAAGCGGTGTCAGCAACGCAGTCGTATCTGCAACGAGAATCATAATGAAATGGAAAAAAATTATGTACCGTTTCTCAAATTACATGGTCTATATCAAAAAATAGACAGTGCTGTCACATATCTAAGCGCTTTTTCCGACAGTTTGTTGCTAAATTTAACCAACAATTCTGCAGAATCGTTTAATTCGATAATCTGCAAAGAAATCGATGGAAAACGCATTAACTTAGAAAAACGAGGCTCTTACAATGCTAGAATTGCAGGAACAGTTGTACAATATAATACGCAACAAGTTCTTACGCAAATACATCAAAACATGCATGAGAATGTTCCGTCTGTTGTCGAGAATCTGGAAAAACGATGGCAAGTAAAAATTGCAGGCAGTGCATGAAGGTCGCAAGAAGATGGTTCTTTCATTTTTAAATCTAGATGTGTTAGATATAGGATTGTTAAATGATAAAAAAATATTATTGCATATAAATATAGAATTAATAAATAGGTGCAAACATCAACGGCCAAACTGAGGAAACTCAAGAAACGCCGCTTACATTGGCTTGTGGCGGCGGTTTTCTGGAAATCGCCGATTTTTTACTTAAGGCGGGGGCAGATATAGAATTGGGTGCATTGACACCTTTAATGAAGGCCGCACAAGAGGGACACTCAGATCTTGTACGATATTTACTGCTCAGACGCAAACGAGGAATACAGCTTTGACATACGCTTGCGAGAAGAATCAGATTGATGTTATTACTATTTTACTGCAATTTGGCGCTGATATAGTATGTTTTATTTTTTATAATTATGGATTTGCAAATTTTTTTTTTTTTATATACTTTTAAGTTGTAGTCTTTTTATCTTTATATTGAAGTACGAATTATCTATATTAATTTATTCTGTATTATAGGAGCATGAATCAGAGAGAGGGCTAACTCCAATCATGAGTGCTTCTAGAGCAGGACATCCATTTACTATCGAATTTTTACTTTTAAAGCATGCCAATTTTAGTCGGCGAACGATAAATAATGAAACATGCCTTTCACTGGCACGGGATAGAAAACATCCCATAGTAGTTAGACTACTTTTAGCACAGAGAGTATTTCTTCCTTCCTCGCCTCCATTATCTTCTAATTCATTGATTACCTTTTCCTCGAGAACCAGAGAATCTCGATAAATAGATGGAAGGCAAAAAAAAAATTAAACGAGAGTTAGGAACAGATTGTCATTACTGTCGGCAATCACAAAAACCAGATCTTCCGTTTGATTCCGTTGTATTCGAGCAACTTCGGCAAAATCATTTTGAAAAGTTGATGGAAAACGGACAAAATTGGAAAAAAATTGAACGCGACACAATAGGACAATGCGAATCTGAATTATGGCAGATATTGAGACACGAAATGTTAACGGCGTCTAATTTTGGCACCATATGTCGCATGAGACCAACAACGTCTTGCGCTGCGACTGTAAAGAATATTTTATTTCCTTCCTCTATCGATACCGCGGCTATGAAATATGGTCGCAAGAGGGAAGAAATTGCGAGACAAGAAATGATCGCAAAACTAAAGAAGGATATTAAAACTTGCGGATTATTTATAGATATTAAAAAAATCCATCCTTAGGTGCTTTTCCTGACGGACTTATAGATGAAGATGGTCTGATAGAAATAAAATGTCCTCTATCAGCTGAACATTTAACAGCAGAACAGGCCATTGAAACGTTGCCTCAACTAAAAGGCATCTTTGATAAAAAAAATCCCGATATAATGAATCGGAATCACCGATTTTTCTATCAGATACAAGGTCAGTTAAATATCACGCAGCGAGATTATTGCATGTTCGCTATATGGACGCCAAAAAGCATGAAAATAGTGCGTGTTAATAAAGACAATATTTTTTGGGAGAACAAGATGTTGCCTTTTTTATTACGTTTCTATTACGAATGTATGCTACCAGAAATTTTGGACAGTCGCCATAATAGACATATGCCAATAAGAAATCCAAAATATATTCTGGAAGCTAAAGAAAACGCGTCTAGAAATAAAAATACTCTAAAAAATAATATAGAAAACAAAAGCGTTGTTCAAGAAGGCAAATGCAATGTTTTGCTAACAGAAACAACAATTACTGAGGCTATTGATGTGGATACAAACGAAAATGATGATTGCATCATTGT